CATCAAGTCTACCATTTCTAAAACATCCACTAAGTCTCGTACAGACCTTCTGACGTATACCCCTAAATCTAATAATGATAGAATACCTATGATATTCGACTACAGTCCCAACCTGAAACTATTAGCTAACAAACTCAGAAAAGACTTCCTCTCCCTCAAGCAAGACCCCACCCATACATAAAAATTATATAGAACTTTATAGACCTTCTATAGAGACTAATCATTTCTACAGAAATTAGTATTTTCTATAAAATTGTTTTATAGAGGAACTAGTTTCTATAGAATTCTATAACATACTATATACACATATTTAATGTAATTTCTATGTTTTTAAGTTTTTTTTTGTTTCATTCAATATTGTTTATTGACACATTCGTGTCTGACCAGTATAGTCTTATCAACATGTTTTACATATTGCATATTCTATAGAAATTCTATAGAATATTCTATACAAATGATATGACAAATTCTCCATAATAAAATTATAAAATTTCTATATTTATTCTATAAAAAATTATAGTCCTTACCTGTATTTAAAAAATGTATTATAACAGTTTTATAGGGATTATCTCTATAGGAACATATAAAATCTATATAGAGTATAACATATATGAGATTTCAATATAAATTTATTTATTTATAGTATATTCTGTAGAACTGTATAATATTCTAAACACAGTCATTTTAAAAACTGTAACTTTTAATAGTTTATAGAAAATATATATAAAAACTCTATGGAAACATTTATAATCTGTAAAATTGTTTCTCTATAGAAAGTATATATAAAATGAATACAAACGCTATGGAAGTGTTTATCTGTAATTGAAATATTAAAAATTATTAAAAAAATTATATCTATAAAAAAAAATTATGTATTAATGTATATATATAAAATTTGTTCAAACTCTATGAAACATTTCTGGGACAGCTAATACGTAGCCTTATGGGAACTTTATGGGGGGGGGGGAGCGGGGCTGTAGTCCCCTAAACTTATCCCTCACCTATTCAC